TTTAACTATTTTCTCTGCTGAAACAGAAAAAAGTCAATATTGCATCTAAAAAGTCAATATTGCATCTAAAATGTAAGTGACTTGACTTGTGTGTGTGTGACTATGTTTGTTGTAGTGATAAGAGTTGCACCCTTGTTAAAGTTTAAGGCCTTGTGTTTTTGGATATATATCTTTCTTTCTTTTTTTTTTTCTTTTTTTACAAAATATGCATATAACCCATATATTTTAGATTTATTATTTGCTTTAAATTAAATTAAGATTGTATTTTTGGTAATTGAACCTGAATGAATTTAAAAATGAATGTGCTATATTTCAGATCATATTTGTTTTTTCTTAAAATTTGAACTAACTTTATTCTCAGCTGAATTATAAATATTTTATTTCTGTATGAATTAAAAACACATTTGATTTTTCTTTTTAATCAATGTAGAATGTGTAACTGAAATATAAACAGATTAGGGCTCTGTTCGAGGACAAGTAACTAAAACCAATGCGACATGATGAATGTTTGTTTCCCAAACCATCTCAGAGTAACAGCTTACTTTTCTTTCTTACTATATTCTTTCTTACTATAAACTGTGCTGTAGAGCTTGCATCAGTCAAAGCAGGGTTACATTTTGCATGTCGTGCACAATAAACCTAAAGGCACCAGGGTGGCGGTGCCACCGGCTTCATATATATATGTATATACAGTATATATATATATATATAGCTGTGATCCGCGATGAAGGGCCAAAGCCAGTGGCATGGCCACCCTGGTGCTTTTAGGTAACTAAGGAACCGGGGTTGCGGTGCCACCGGCTTGGGCCCTTCATCGCTGCTCGCAGCTATATTTTTGTCTTGTTTCCCAAGCCAGACAGCAACATCGGCCCAGATCCGGCCCACATCCATGTTGATTTCATATGTACCAGATGTGGCCCGGATCTGGGCCGACACTATGTTGCTGTCTGGGAAACAAATCTATCATGTGGCTCCAAAAGAATATACAGAATGTGTCATATGAAACATGTTTGGCCGCTTTTGTCCTCTTGGAGGCTTGACATGTGGTCACCACTAACTCTTAAGGAGAACCAAAAAACAACAACATTTGTTTGAAAAAACATGAGGGTGAGGGAATAATGACATTACCTATTTATTTGGGATGTATATCCCCATCAAACAAGTCATTATCAAAATAATAATAATAAAAAATAATAATAATAAAAAAATGACAACTGTGTATTGTTAAAGTACAAGAATGCACGAGGAACCAATGAACTATCTATCTATCTATCATAGGAAATTGAGATTCATTACCTCCGCACTGCCAAACCGCAGACACGCCGCCGCAAGTACCGCGAGAAGTAGCGGGATCCGCGATCTCATCTTGCTGCCGTGCCGCTGCGGGGCTCCACGGGACAGCGCGCATTTAGAGAGACGCTCACGAGACGCTCAGCACTGGGCTCTGACTCGTAAGCAAATATCGGGTTAATTAAGCAGCAGTTTAAGTCCCTCAGCGGCTCTGCAGGCTCGACATTCCTCTCAGTGCGCAAACATTCAAATTGCCCTCCACGGCAGAATGAGTCTCTTTTCTGAGGAGCAAGTGGCCCATTTGAAGTCCTTTGAAATGCAGTTTGCGGATTAAAGTGAAGAGGGTTTTTTTTTCCAGGCGAAACACCAAAATCCCGGATTCCTCAGCTGGCGGTTATATTTAATCATTCATTTACATGCTCCATTCCAATAACGACGCCTCTTATTATTATCTGAGAAAACTGTCATCTAAAATATCTGTTCAGTCATGGCAATAAAAAAAGTAATTCAATTATTTAAAAAAAAAAATAGCAGTCAGACAGGACTTTTTATTAATAAAAAAAAACGTATTTAAAGTGGTGCGCGTGCGGCCCCTTTGTTTGGTTTAAAATTACCACAATTAACACCGTTGATTAAGTAGGTTATTAAAAAAGTTATATATAAAAAAGGCTTTCAAATCCAAGCTGTTCCATGTGTAATTCACGAGGGTCCCTTCGTCTTCGCATTGCCCCTAATGAAAGCGACATTAATGGAAGTTAAATTAAAACTCTTGGTCTTGCAGTTTTCTTATCAATGTCTAGCGCGTGCACGGCCCCGCGCGAGCTGTCTGTGCGGTGTTGATTATGGGACTGTGGCTCTGAGGAGGATTTCAGGGGTCTGTATGTGGACTCTTATCTTACCCTCCCCTTAAAGGCAGGGCTGCACTCACTGAGAAAGAGAGAGAGAGGGGATGGGAGGTGAGTGAGGAGCTCAGATGAGGTGCTGAAGTCTTGTTACTTGGATGAACACGTTTTAATGGTAGAAACATATTTTAGATGTACATATGCATGAGAACCAAAAGAAAATTTCATTATGTTTTCTTATGTTTTTCACACTGAAAATATATACTATAGGCTAGCCTACTCCACCTCATGTTTTGCTTACTTTTTTGAAAAACTTCTGCAAAATGTTCATGCTGATGCTGTTCTTTCCTAAAGGCATTCAGCTATCCATGACACATTCACTATTATGTCATATACTAAAAATCTAGCTCACAAATGGCATTTGCATATTTACAGTAGCCTATATTTAAACGTGCACTGCAATGTCATCAATAGCAATGTCATTACTTATTACGGGTCAGAATTCACTTCAGACATAAAAGTTATTTTTTACATGAGATGTTCTTTTATAAATTGCATGATAATGCAAGAAACATTCAATTCACATATTTGGAAAAAAAAAAATGTATAAAGAATGACATGAGCATGAATAAGTTATTGTTTCATTATAGAATGAATGAGATGGTGGAGACATATTCTCTCCAGCCAGTGCACTTTTAAATGTTTTCACAGCTTTGCTCATGGCGATGGAATCAAAAGGTGTGTCTAAATACCAAAACTTTTATGACCTTAAATACCAAAACTCTAAATCTTATGACCTTTCAGATTTGCACAATGGGTGTCCGAGTTATGAAACCAAAAGGGTCGGAAGTCTAAAACGAAGGTGACTGAAACAGCTCTGTTATACATAATTTAATGTAAATCTTCATGCATTAGTAAGAATCATTTATTTTTCCCACTACAAAGAACCGGTTTTAACGGATGTTAAAGGTTTTTTATGGAAATGTCAATACCAATGAAGAGTGTGATCCGAATATCTTGAGGTGAGGATCTAGAAGTGCTGTTGCTTCAGCATAAAGGCCTGAAACACTTTTTAAATAAGAATTTTAATGTATAAACGAATCAGAACAAACAAATCTCTTGTATTAAGATCCAAGTTTAAGAAAAGGTTTATGCTTACACATCTGTGATCAAAATCATGTTGCACCAACTCATTTAAAAGATATTAAATGATAGTTTTCTAGCTGAGTTATTATATTTGTCTATACACTAATAACAAGCCTTTAAGCATAAACCTTTTGAATGGTCTAAAAAAATACTTTGACTCACTGGCAGTGGATGTTTAAAGGAAAAAGTTGAGAAAAAGCAGGAGATAAAAAGTTGGTGCTTTACATTTTTAAGTAGTCATTTTGGATGTTTCAGTCATTTCAACTTAAATTTCATTAAATTGACTAAACTATTTTCTAATCTTGTATAACAAACAAAAAATACTTATTTTGATGAGTTAAAGCAATGTAAAAAGTGTAAAAAAAACAACAACAACAACAAAATAGCACTTTAATCAACTGACCTCAAATTGTGTATTTAAAAAACATTTGCACTTAAAACCAAATGATGTTAATGAACCACGTTTATGAGCAAAGCACTAGAAAAATGTGTGGGCAGCTGCCAATGGCCTCAAACAAAAGAGCACTGTGGTCAGACAGAGCGATGAGACCCATCACTGACACGCGTGTGTGAGCAGATATCATCTGTCTTATTAGGAAAAGGACAGGTCAAGAGGTCAAGTGTGAACAAGGCTGGCTGGACAACCTCTCGCAACTAATCCAATCTCTCATTCATCTCTCTGCTCCCGTTCTGTTCTTCTCTTTTCCACAGAATTGTGCAGCGTTCATCTTTTTATTCACTATTCATCTCACGCTGTAACTCCCACACTCCCTCTTTCTCCTTCCATTTCTTTGTCTCCCGCTTCCTCTCTCCTTCTCCACCTCCTCCCTGCCCCCTATCATCCTTTCATCCTTTTGATATTGCACTATTCCTTGGTTTCTTTCATCTGTAATATGTTCAAGTCTGTTCATGATTATGTACTTCTCTTTCCATCTCTCTGTACATGCCAAACTTTAAACAAGTATTTCTCTGTCAGAAAGGCCTTTGGAACGCAGTCAAACAATTATATGTTTATTAATTTAGATAATTTTATTTCACGTATAGTGCTGTAGAAATTGCACACTTAAAAAGGACATTTAAATGGTTCCTAAAGTGTTCTGAGTGCGTTGCTATACAAGACTTTAGTGAAGGAAAGGACTACCCATAAAGTATTGAAATAATCAAATTAAAAATGATTGAGAAATTATTTAAAACGTTGATTATATATATATAGCATATATAAACAATTTTTTTTAAGTTCATTGTAAAATATGCACATAGGCTACGTTTAAACACTTTGAGAAAGAGATTGACTCAATTACGACATTCTCTCTTTTGAGCTCAGATCTTTTAGTGCGTTATGCTTGTTTCGACTCTGATAGGTGGAATTTGCATCATGGATCATCATCAATCAATTTTTCACCTCAAATTCACTGTAAGTTGTGACAACATGTGTTTTCACATTGCTTAGTTTAACTCATCAAAATAAGTAAGCAATTTTCAACGTTTTTTATAAGTTACACAAGATGTATCTCATTGAAGTCAACTTTAATGTAATTCAAGTTGAAATGACTTAAACATCTAAGTTGATTGTGCTTAAAAAAATGTAAGCAACTTTTTCTTTACAGTGAATACTATGGATTAACTACCTTGTAGCTCACAGTAAGGCTGTCTTTAATGGTTTTACATTATCATTAAAAATCAATTTCCCAATGGAGAAAATGAAATGAGTTCTTACTTCTGGAACCCGACGGATCTTCGTTCAGGAGAAGTTCGTCCCGGCTGGTAAACACCTTCGAATTACCATTGGTTAATCCAAATGAGGTAATAGGTGTGGCTCTGAGACTCCGCCTTCTTTAATGTGAAAATATTGTCCGACCCTCAAGCTAAAACACAAGTAAAAACAAACTATTTTTTAATGTTAAATACTGTACAGCTGTTTGAATTAAAGCAATAAAGTGCTGTATAAATAAATGTGACATGACTGATTGTGCAAACATATCCACATCGCTACGATCAGATGCTTTCTTAACTGCTGTTTTCACACTGCTTTTGTGTTTTTGTTACTGAAAGGAAACAGCAGCATATATTTACATATTTTTCGAAATGTGGAGAAAATGAAAAAGAACATGGCCTTACTAGCATGGCTCCACGAATAATTGTTCAATCAAAGCTTAATTCATGAGAAATGTAACCAACTTTTGACATTATGCTGTGATTATTTACCATTATAATCACTGTGATTGGAGCGATGTCTTGCTGTGATGTCATCATGACCATCCGGGACAGGATGCTGTACACGAGTAACAGCGGGACTCAATGAACCGGATAAAGACCGGAGAGGAACACTATTGTTCAGAACTGCAGAGCCATTACACCACAAAGCCAGCTGTTGGGACTCTTGGGTGTGTTCACTCACAGTCCGAGTGTGGCAGATCAATTATGAACGCCATCAGAACTCTATCTAGTCCAGTGAACATGGTCATGCATAGAAGTCTAGATCAGTGTTTCCCCTCATAAAGCTCCAGTAACCCTTCAGCAACACCAAACCAGAAATATGCTCCTTTTAACTTAAATATTACACTAGATATAGATATAACTATACCATGGATATTATTCAAATAGATATTTTTATAATAACTAAAAACATATTATACTAGATTTTTTACTTTACCACAAATGTTATTAATAGATATTATAATTCCAACAAAGCAATCGATACTGAAGTTTGAGAAACAGACTCACATAGTAGATTTAAATTAAAGATGTTTAAGGATTTTAATTGTAAAATAAATAAATACCACAAGATGGAGAAAAATGGAAAAACTACGAAGAACTGTTAAAAAAACAAAACAGCAATTTATCCAACACTATTGTGCATTACATTCTACCAAGGCTGCATTTATTTGATCAGAAATACAGTAAAAACTGCAATCTATGTTTTCTATTTTACTTTAAAATATATTTTATTCCTGTGTTGTCAAAGTTGAATTTTCAGCATAATTACTCCAGTCTCCAGTGTCACATGATCTTTCAGAAATCATAATGATTTCCTGTGTAAGAAACATTTCTTATTATGAAAACAGTTGTGCTGCTTAATATTTCCAAAACTTTTTTTTCAGTTTTTTTTTTTTTTTTTTGAATAAATAGATATTTCATTTTAAATAATGTACAAGTCTTTACTGTGACTTTTAATCACTTTAATGCATTCTTCCTGACCCCCACAAAACTACACATTTCTTTAAAACAAATTGCTGGCACCAAAATTTGAAATGGTAATGTATCACATATGTTTTTAATTAATTGGATCTTTGGAAAAGCCCTATCATTTTTAAATTCATAATTTCTAAAAAGTTTCCTAGTTATAAAAATCAGAACTGCACACCACAAGAGAAAGAAAGCTATAAAATGAGAGAACCGAGAGACAGAGAGATCAAATAATAAGTCATATTATTCACTGATAGCATGATGAAGTAACGAGTTTTGACAAATGGTCACTCCTCTGCACTGGACCTTTCGCTCAAGAGCATTATGTATGGGCCAATTGTCATCATCTCTGCTATGATGAAGAGGCTCTTATTATGCCTTTTGGATTATATTCATTGATTTGTTCCCATCAAACAACATGTTATTGTTGTCCTCTTCCGGCCAAACGGGTGACTTTGTTCCGAGTGAGTGTACATCTCCTCTCAAACCAAACTAGCTCTGACAAAAGGGAGTTTTCCGTTGCCTAACCTGAACAGCACTTCCTCAACACACACAATGCTGAAGTGTCACTGGAATCTTTCCACATTACAAAGGAGGTGTTCACCCAGAAGAATACATAATCCTCACAACCAGTCTAAAATAATAAAACATTAGGTTTTTATCCTCAACAGACAATGTGCATCCCCAAATACATGGTTCAGAACAGAAGACTTGACTCGCGCAACTGATTCTAATGGGTAATATGTTGCAAAGCAAATGATGCAACAACACTCTGTAAGCATACAAAAACACATGCGAGTGAAATAATGAATTTCTAATTATAATCATAAATGCTCTCAAATTTCTGATTTAGCATTTTAGAACGTATTTGTAATGTATTTGTAATGATAAACATACATTTGTGCTCAAAAGATATATGTATTAATGCTCACCAAGGCTTTTATTTGATAAACAGTTTTATTATTTTAAATTTAAATCATGTTTTCATTTTGAATATATTTTAAAATGTCATTGATTCCTGTGATCAAAGCTGAATTTTCAGCATCATTACAATATATATTAAACAATTTTTTATATTCCAAACTTTGAGTTGCTGTTCATAACCGATTTTATTTCTATATTGTGACATATTTTGAAAGGCAGAAAGGCAACTTTAATCCACCAGCCACATGAGAATTAAGTGATTCCAATTGAATATGAAAATCATTTCAGAGCTAGGGCAAGTCTCTGAATTTTGATTCAAATCAAACTAATAAATGAATAATAATACAATAAAATAATAAAATATTGGCCTCAAAAATCACATCTATCTAAATCACCTCCTGTTGTTCAAGGTTCACAGGACTTTTCTTCTCCCACTTCGTTCCTCTTCTGTAGTTGCTTTATTACCCCTTTCTTTCTCTTCTTCCTTCTCTCCTGCTTTGCTGATCCCCCTGTACACACACAGAGGGGAAAGAAACATAAACAAACCCAAACTTGGCTTTATTTCTGGAATATTATTTTTAAAAGCACCACCACAAAGAAATAATATTCCATAAAATCTTCAGTTTGCATTTTTTATGTCTAAATTACACACAGATATTTTGTTTGTGGCTGGATGTTTTTCACGGATGTTTTTAGATTCTGTTGGGAACAGTGTTGAAAAGTGACTCACTCGTGCCATAGCAAGTTAGAGCCAAAAAACCTTTGACCTCTTCTGAGTCTCTTAAAAGATCTCAAATATTTTAGCGAGCGCAGTTAACATTCAGCCACAGATAAAGCTTTCTCTGTCTCGAAGAGCAAGATCATCAAGACACACTGTATGACAGCACAAACTGCACAGATGTGTATTCACCTAGTATGTGCTAACTAACACTGCATAGTTTTAACTTAACATGATACTGTGTGGGCATGAATTAAGAATTCATTCCCACAATTTTATTAAAATTCATCCCCTCATTTTTAATGTAGTAAAATCCAGTCAATTGTGGGAACAAATTCTTAATTCGTGGCCTCGATATCATGTGCGAGGCTCCGTACATACACAATGCCTATCTCTTTGTAGGTGTATGTAAAATTGTCTCAGGAATGTCTTTTCATTTAGACTTTGAAGATTTTTATGGCTAGAAAAAAAAAATATTTTTAATAGCTGCATCACTTAGTAAACGAGTCTAAAACGAGTGCTCGCTTCATTTTATGTATTTTTTATTCAGTGTAAATTCATGTTCCAGTTACACTTACTGTTGACCCATTTTTAAACAAATAAACACAAAAAATAGTTTTTCTATTTTGTATTTATACATGAACAAAGTAATGTTTATTAAGGACAGCATAAAACGGAAGTTCCAGTCGACTTTTATTCCCTATTGTTACGTATTTGTGAGTGAAACAGCTTCTCGAGCAAAATGTAGGGCGGGACTTAATTGTGTCCTTTAGGAATTGATTGGATGATTGTGGTTTGCTATTGCTGTGAAGTCATGTCATGTGATTGACAGGTTGCCCCGCCCTCACGTCAATAAACACATCATCAGAGAAAAGAAGATGCTGCAAGAGGGAGGGGAAGTTATTTTGAAAGCTTATGAGGGCACATGGATTTAAAAAATGATATTTAGCCTATAATAAGTACATCAGTATTTCATAAAAAATAAGAATGCCCATTTTTGATTTTATTATGTCTTCAAAACTAAATCTCACATCAAGTTAGTGCTTTTCAAGCATTTTTATATTTATATTATAACTATAATAATGCAAATTTCAGATCTGTTTATTCGTGAACTGATGTTCAGCTTTTCTTTTGAACAATCAAATAATTTTCGGAACATCAGTCATCAAAGCCCAGTAAACATTGCAGATTAATTTCACCAAGCTCACTAAAAATACTCCATACAGATCGTCATTGTCAAAACGATCCTCATTGACACGGATCTGAGAAAACGACTAAAATGCTGTATTATTCATGCCAGGCCAGTAGTTGGCGATGTCAATTTATAAAGAAACACTATGCGCATTAACACTGAACACCAATAAAGAGCCTAAGTCCCTCCCCTTCCGGTCGACCACCATGGGACCTTATTTCGGAAAAATATTATAGTCAATGGCGAGAAACAACAAATATTTTGATCTCGTTTGAATTGTGCCCTGCATCACACATATGATGTTTGTCAGTTGAACAGATCTATTTTAAATTCAAGAAAGCCGCAGTTTGATGTAAAACTATTGATGTTTAAGACTGTGAAAATACGTAATTACAAAGACTACAAACCCCAAAGGCACACATTTTCTCTCAATGAATGAAGCTAACTTTACTGAAGCTAACGTCTGTCATTTTTTCTAGTTTTACGTTATAATTGTAAAGTTACGCCGTCATGCCTGAGTGTTTTGTGCCAGACTGCACACATACGAACAACGGATTTTGCTAGTTGTTTCGCTTCCTGGGAGATGTAGTTCACTGAGTGATTTTCACATAAAACTAAATGTTACTCTTCTGTTTTATTACCAGCTCCGACTTTCTTGACTTTCAGAATTATCTTTTAAATTGACAAACATCATGTGTAATTCAGGGCACAGTTCGGACGGAATAAAAAGATAGGATGTCTCTCGCCATTGACAACATATTATTTCTGAAATTAGGTCCCGGCTGGAAGCGGAAGGGAGGGACTTAGGCTCTCTATACACATGCGATGTGTGTGACGTCACCGTTTTCACAAATTCACTTTTTCGTAGTTTACACAGAGACGATAACGGTATTGTTTTCAAAAACTTCCACTTTAAGGCCCCTAAATGAACAGCCAAAACACATTCAAAGTCTAGTGTAACAGGAGGCGGGACTTATCGCACGAACAGCCAATCATAGCGCAATAGAGGCACTGCCGTCTCTCGTGTGAAATTTTTCCCCATTCATCCTGATTTACACTCTTTTTAAAGTTCTATTTCATGTTGCTATTTTATTGATGTACTCTAGGTTATTTTCTCATCCAAATTTTTTTTTGAAAGGTGGCACTTGTCTTCTTGGAGGAAATGGCCATCACACACACATAAATTGTGCATGGTTGATTGCCAAGCATGAACAGCACAAATCTGTGCAATATGTGATTTTGACAAAAGTTGCTCTTGATCATAAAGCTGTCACAAGAAACGTTATGATTGATGGCAGCAGGTTTTTGATGAGATTGCAGGTGTCTCACTGGAACGCGATTGAGACCTTCTGTTTGATTTCAGGCATGTGTGTGTGTTTCGCTGGGAAAATCCCCAGCAACAAAACCCCTCCCCCGGTGTTCCTCCCACCATGCCAGCCAAACAGAGACAAAAATGCACAACATTCTCACACACAAACATACTGAAACTAACTTTAGCTGGATTCACACAGCTCCAAAATTGACAATCATGCGTCTTTTGACAATCATGCATAGCCTACTTAAGTATTATTTTGGGGTATCTGTAGGCTATTAAATTAAAACCAAATAGGCTTCTGCTACATTTACAAGGGAAAATTATACTTTACTCCATTGCAATTTCATTAAAAGTACATTAAAAGGTTACTCAATTATTACTCAATTATCTTAATGTGTAACGAAGGTCAGTAAAGGACAGAATGTTGATTAGACTGGATTATTAGTTTAAAAAAAACTATAATCAAATGTCAAACCAATCTAAAATCATCTGCTGAAAGTATTAATGTTAGCTGAAAATATTCAGGTAACAGGTTCCAGGATATTGGTTTACTTTTAACGTCTGCTGTGAGTTTCAAATAGTCAGAACAGTGAGAAAAGAGTGATTTTGATAAGTTTAGGTTTCTTTTGTTGTTTAATCAAAAATACTAAAATGAGAAAATCTCAACATTATTACAGAATTCAATTTTTAGCTTAGAAAGGTGTTTACCTTTTACTTAAATGTGGATACTTTGGTTTACTTTTACTCAAGCATTTTTGGGGGTAGGTACAGGAATTTGAATATCTGTATTTTAACTCAAACACAATGTATCAGTACTTTTTACAGCCCTGATGCACAACGATATAGCTACATAGGTTTTGTTCACACACTGTGTCTTTCTGAGCATTTTATTGTCACATGACTTATTTGGACAAAGTCACTACTTTTTTTGATGCACATAATTGCTTTTCTTACTATTTCTGCAATATCTCAGTACCAGTTTGAATTCAGGTCTTCCTACAGATGTATCCATCTCCAGTGAAGTGAGTGTAGGCCTAGACATTTTTATGCACATCTTTGACATTTTATTTTCATCTAGGCATTTCCATCTAGCATTCTGTTATGCAATATCCTGAAATCCTTATAAATATACAGACAGGATAATATAGAAACATCTTACTTTGTTTCTGGGTTTGAGTGTCTATGTATGTGCTTCCATTAGTTCTTCCTATTGGCTTCCTCCAGCACACGCTCTCTGGTATTGTATGATGTGAGAGGATGGATAACAAGCTGTTTTCCTCCATTAGCAGCTCTGTTTCTATCACAGCTCAGGTTCCTTCATGGAAAGTGGCTTTTTCTCCCTGTTAAATGAGAAATAGTAGTAACATAGCTAATATGTATTCCTGAAAGCCAAATCAAGCGCTGAGCTCCTCGGGCCACCATTTTAGTGTCCACTGCAAATACAGATGTATTTGACAGTTAAACAATTCTTGGTATTTCTCACACTCGTTCTGTTTTCTGTTAATGTAATAAATGACATAAATTTTGTTTTCTGAGGAAAACTCAAGTCTGCAGGGCAAAATTTGTTAAGTCTGACCACTTAGAAAAGTAATAGCACACTTTTGCTCAACATGCCGCATGACTTGTGTTATTATTCATTTTTGTACCAGAAACGTTCAGACGAGTTAAGAGCCAAACATAAATTCTTATGGGTTAGGGATTTCATTTAAACATTAAGGCCCATTTTCACAAACACGGCTTGGATTAAGCCAGGATTAGGCCTTAGTTCATTTAGGGCATTTAAAGGTATAGCGGAGGATCTTTCCGAATTTTAGAGAAGACTCCTCTCCAATTTAAAAAAAAATAAATAAAAAATGCACATGCACAAACACAACACTCCCGAGAGGGAACGCCTACTATTACGCCTTGCACAATTATGTTGCAAATTGTAAACTAACTCAAAAATATTCATAAAAAAGACAACATGTCAAATGCCCTTCCGTGTTTTATTTACTTATTATACTGATCGATTGAGTGACCGAGGACTCAAGACATGATATGTCCAACCCTGTATCACACAAAATACGATCTGAGGAAACTATTTTGCAAATCGCAATTACGTTACATAGCAACATATAAGCAGTGCTATTACGTTGGTCCTTAACCTAATATGTCTCATTGTTAATACGTAGGTATTAATAAGTTATTTTTATACATAGTTGCGTATGGAGAAGTAGCTTGTTGCATTTGTGTAATTATGAACACATGATCACGCAAGGTTTTAGAATATTTCAGCGTGATACCATTTACCATTTTGGTCAAAAGGCTACTTTAGACAAATTGAGATGTTTACCGTGTCTATGCGGTGCATGACTTGTGCCAGGGCTAGCATTGCTAAGTAGCTTGCATTAACTTTTACTAGTGATTTTAAATGGATTTCTCCAAATAGCATGACAAACTTTACCTGTCTGGTAGAATCTTCGCGACTGCGGCATCAGTGAGAAGCCCAACCTGTGCTTTTAGCCCACGCCAGCATGTGATATTAACCCAAAATCACTCTGGTCTTGTTTCTATATTCTGCGGCCTTTCTCTTCTTATCATACACTTCGTATACATTTTATTTCTCTTTCGACCCTCAGCCATTTTCAAAGGAATGGCTGAAACCGCAACTCCGACATAATACACCTGAAAGTGAAAACTACATAGGGACGAGCACGTACGACGGCCTTACGTAAACATATCACCAGGATGATTGACACTTAGATCGACCAATAGTATAGACTACCCACCCGGAAAAAGAAAATCCTCCGCTATACCTCTAAGTAGCTTTTATAAATGTACCTTAGATTTAGACAAAAGATTACTCACATGTGTCTTGAGACAAATCAATGCAATGAGATTTTTAAGATACGTCAGTGCAAGTTGCTTTCAGTTTAAAAAAAAAAAAGCTCAAACATGAATTTCAGTCTAGGCTTAAGTCTTGTCTGTGAAACCGAAACTAAAAGCATTAGCAATAATAACACTTAATCATCAATTATTTAATACATAAAAATATTCATTTCAGTTTTGTACTGTGGGTCAAAGTTGGCCAGAATGGTAGTCGTGCCATCTTGCAATCTATCTTTATTTTAAGCTGTCTACGTCGACCCAGTTACAGTGTATTGTTGTGCGTTTCCCACTATTGTAACATGGATAAAATCTAATGCTCTATGGACACAAAAGAAACATTTCAAACTATATTCTGAAAACCATTGTGTGTCTCTGCCACCTCAGATGGACGGCGGTATTCATGTCTGGCTCTAAAATGCAGCAGTAAACTAAATGAAGTTAGCTATCACTCACTAAGTGTGAAATACAAAACGAGTTTTACTTTAGGACAGTGGCTCTTTGGACGAACATGAATTATCTGTACATCTGTGAAGATATGCAAGATACAGGATTGCTTCACATGCCGTTTTGATCTGTGAACTTTGACCTTGTTTAATGCCAATGACAGTGGCGCAAACCCAATTAAGAATATGTGTTCTTCATTTTTTTTCTGTGTGTGTGTGTGGGAAGGGGACTTCCACACTGTGTGGTATTAATATCCTCATGCCTCCATGCCTGCAGGGTTACTCCTCTGCCAGGAAACACATGACCTCAGCACACCTCCTCACCTTCCTCTCTGATGTATACTGCACACGTGCACATAGATTCAGCTCCAAACATAGGCTTACTGCAGTTTCAGATCATGGATGTGCAGCTTGCAATTTGGCTTGGATGATGATTGGATTTTGGAGTGCATGATGCTCACTGCAATATATCAAAAAAGGTGTGGGTCAACACAAACAGCTCTGTGATACTTAAAATCGAGAGAGAGAGAAAGAGAGAGAGAGAGAGAGAGAGAGAGAGAGAGAGAGAGAGAGAGAGAGAGAGAGAGAGAGAGAGAGAGAGAGAGAGAGAGAGAGAGAGAAAGAACACTTCCATGAATGACTAACAGGTGCACACTGTTGTATTTCCTCCTATTTGGACGTCATCTCCTACTCTTCATTCTGTACTTCCTGCACAACAACTTCCTGTGACCTGTCCTGTTCTGTTGATCGATAGCCTGTTCTTGTGTGCTTGGTTTGTCCTTTTTAGTGGACTTACGGCAGTTTTAGAAGTCATTATGTCTGTTGTGGAGGAGCAATGTTAAAAAAGTTACATTATAATGTTTTATAATATTATTTTTATTGTAGTGTTATTGTTTTTCAACTAAACAGAAATAAAAAAAATACATTATTATTAATGCTGATGAAAATGTTGCCAATAAAGCAATTCCTTTAGAATAGCAATAAAGTTAAAGTTTCCTGCACTTTTTTTTAACAAATACCTGACCCTCAGCTGTAACTGCTATTGTATCTTAATACGTGTGTATGAAAATTACCTGTTGCATTGTCTGTTGGATGTTGATGTCCCTTTCAGGGGTTTCAACTAGCTCCTGTAAAACAGCATGAAATACTTCAAAGAGAATCACCTTACACTCTTAGGATTCTTAACTCAATTTTAAAGAGCCATTTATGCCAAAAACATGTTTTATAAGAAGAAATGTCTAATATGATTGCATAATATATTCATATTAATATATTCATAATATATTCAAATACATAATATATGGTTAATAGATTATTAAATTTGTATAGGCTCCTGAGTATGTTTACAAGCTGGTTAATTCAAAACATTTAATTTAAATTAAAAAGGAATAAAAAGAATGATCCCTTGATGGGAACCACTTAAACAGAACAAACCCCTTCATGGTTCTATAAAAAACATGAGAATATAAGAGTGATGCTGGCCAGCCAGATATGTTTTGGAGAGTAATAGGAAATACACAGAGTTAGCTGGCGTCAGGGAAGGGCTCGATGGTGTTTCCAGCAGCAGGGAAGGGCTTTTCTTGAAGCTGTCAAGCTTGAAGGCAGGGCTCTCTCTCTGAGGCTTTCCACGGTGGGGTTGCAGAGCTCTCTCACACTCAAACACAAAGCAAATTGTATGTAAAAACAATGCTAGCTGTCTGACCGTCTCAGGGAGGGTGGCCAGAGAAGCCTTGACTGGCCTAGTTTAGACGACCCTGAGATGGCCAGACAATAGTCTTCAATAGAGCAAAATACAGCACAATGCAATATTCAATATAATCTCCAGACATCTTAGATATGGGTCTAAAAAAACTCTATTCCAAAATGGTGCTGTATAGAAAAATACTCAAATTGGATATATCCTCTTTCAGACTTCTTCCTCTTTGGTGTTGTTTTGGTCAAGCCTTTCAACATTTTTACACTCCAGATCTGGCCTTGGCCAAAAGACTGAAGGTGCTGCTCTTTCCATTGGAAATAGTCCCCAGGGATGTCCCAGAAGACCACTTTCCTGTAGAGTTTAGCTCCAATCCTCAATAAATAAACCTGGACTAGATAATCAAGGTCTTCAAGACTACTTTAAACTTCTTCTGCTCGTAGAGGTCCACGTTCCTGCAGATTTTAGCTCAAACCCTTATTATTCAGTAAATTCCTGAACAAGGTAATCAAGGTAATCTTCAAGACTATTTGCCACTTTTACTCTCCAAGTGTGCCCAAATTGCTTCTAGAGGTCCATATTCAGGCAGAGCTTGGATCAAGCATGAAATAAACTCATATGAACCAGGAAATCAAGGTATACAGGACTACTCAAACTACCAGGCAATGTGTGGTGGAGCATTGGAGTTGAACTCTGAAGGTGGACCCCCAAGAGCAGGATTGGACACCTCAATTGCAAGACATCTCAAGCTAAGAGTTCATAATTTGTTTGTCTTTCATATTAACCTTCTTAATTTAGAAGGTGGTTAATTTTTACCATTTACTTTGATTTTAGTGGTCAATTAGAAAATGAACATGATCCTGAATCAACACTTACATGGATTTGCTTAAGGTTTTCAGTCCCGGTCATGGTGAGCCTCCGCTCTCCACATCACATCTCTTATCTGACGCACTTATTTCAGATCATGGAGCTAAAACAAGCCTGCAAGGTTAGCAAAACAAGAAAAGAAAAAAAAAAAAAAGAAAAAAAAACGTCTTAACTTCGCGAGGCATCACTTCGCTGAATAAACTGTTTTTTTGGGGGGGCAAAACACCTTATCATTAAATGAATCGACAGCCTGTTGGCTAATCTTCCACCTGTTTGCTCTAAACCATTCGTTTTGGATTGATCTATTTTTAGAGATTACACTGAAAAAAATGCTGTTTTATAACAGACGTCACAGACAATTGCGCGACTGGTTCAGTTTACGACGCTTCTTATTAATTCCTATGGTCTCCGCAAACAGTGATTAACTGTCGCACAACTCTGAACGAAATGCAGTGACGTCAAGGCTGTAATGCGATTGGCTATCAAGGTACACATGATCCAAGTTAACCGTTACACTTAGTTAGCCAAGTTAACCGTTATGCTTTCTCCAAACATTTTAATTAAAGGCTGGTGTGCTGAAGCAGATTGTAAATAAATATTGCAGGACAGAGGGTCTCCAAGAATAAGGTTGAAAACCTTTGATAACCGGGGATCTCCTTGCCTTGAAAATAATGAGACATTGATTCAAACATGGGTTAACATGGGTTGGATTTTGCCTTTCCTTTCCAAATCCGATACAATACACTAACCTCATTGTGCAGGTGGGTTCAGGATAATTCTAGATTGAAAGTTGTGTTATAGCAGATACATAAAATTGGACTATATCTGTACGTAAATGCTTCCTTGGCTAAATTTGAGTTCCATAAAGCCTAGGGTAAAAAAAGAACACTTTGTGGTCTTGTGTTTCTGCCATCTGGGGTTGGCATACATTACGGTTTCTTTAAGGTGGCTCAAACTGAAAAAAAAGTATACATAGGAACCTCTACAGAAACCAATGCAAAAGGTCTGACATCAGTCCATTTTTGGCACTCTCACTGCCATTAGCCCTGCTCCTGTTTTTCCCATCATCCTTTGCACCTTCCTGTTCTAAGATGCATCTCACTGTCCTCACAGCCTTGGTTCAATTGCAGAGATGTAATCTGAATCTCTCAGGGTTCAGCTGATGGTACTAAAAGCATGTCCAAATTGGGTTTTCTCTTTTGCTTCCTAAGTCCCACTTTCTTTCTCCACTCTGTTCCTCTCCCTCACTTGTCGTCTTGTCATCCAACAATAACACAACATGCTGGCTTCCTGTGTGTTGGGAGAACAATAGGAGGATAACTTTGATGGCGTGTGCGAATTTGCTGTAGTGCTTTTATCTCGGCCTGTAATCTCCTACAGTGTATTGAGAAGGGTCTGTGTTCCTGAAAGAAAAAAGAACATTCATTTTTCAGATGAATTCCTAAACGAAGTATATTGTCAAAGGTCTTCTAACACATAAAGGAACGTAGTCCTGTAAAACTCATTTCGACAAATCATGTGTGCACCATTAATAGCAACCTCAGCTAATGTTAGCTTATGCCTAGCTGTCCGGAGCCAATTGTTAAGCTCCTAGTGTTCTGAAAATCCTCCATTCCCATTAAGGATGATCTTCAAACAGTTTGAGTCATCATTCTTGCCTGACAAAACGGGCTTCTTTCTCAAGATGAGCCACAACCTAGCACATCTTGTCAACAAGAAACACTTAACAAAATATAATGCCACTTTAAAAACAGAAGTTGCACACCTTGTCAGATAGAAAATATTAGGAAAGATACAATCACTTGAACAAATTAGGCAAAATAGATACATCTTGCCAACCAACCCTGTCAGGATTTACTACCAAAATGCACTTCTTTATGACCCTTCTGAAGAAATTCAACCAAAAAATATAACTATTGCTATATATGGAAACAAAGCTAAAATTAAAAACATATATATTTTTTGGGGGGAAAATAGTTTGGTTTCTAATTTTTGTTTAGTTTAAGTTAATAATTACTAATAAAAACTAAAACTTACCACACTATGAAATAAATAAACCTAATAGTAATATTTGAATATATAAAATGACAGAAGCACATACAATTACTTGAGTTAAAATGAAAACTGTAAATATACTAATGAAAGCTTAATAAAACTATCAGTACACACATATAACTTAGTTTTCGTATATGAAATTATAATATACAATGTAATAAATCTAAATGGGCAAGAGTTAAACTGTGAACCTTTTAAAAAGCCAATGTTGGGATGGATTCTCTTTGCACCCCCATTAACTTTCTAATCCCAGTTATTGTTCTTCCATAATCCTGTTTTGTGTCAGAAAGGCCTCAAACAAACGCCCCCAAATGCCTTAAGACCTCCAGTTAAAAGCACAATCTGTAATTCTGGCAGCCGGCAGCCAGTTAATGCGAGTGAAATCTCACCTCTTGACTTGAAAAACTCCCGTATGCTTCAGTCATTGTTTACAATCATGAGTGCATGGGGTTCATCTTGAATTATGTCATTAACAAAGCTTGTGTTGTGAAAATCTGGCTGCACAATACTATGACTTTGGGTCAGTTTGGTCAGCTGTAGACAGATATAAGGCCACACACACAGCACAGGTCTAAGAGCAATCCATCTTTGTCATCTCTGAGCTGGAGTCTCATACAGCAGACAATGGTGGACTTCAATTCACACAGTCCCTCTGATGTGTCAGACATAAACTCGCTCTCTCTTCCTCTCACTCTCTGTCTCCCTCTCCTTCAATGCCTCCATTTATTCCATCAGACCCAGGGTATTCCCTGGGTCATCATTGTGTTGGTATCCAGGTTGCCAATGGCAACAGTCCCATCGTCTCACCCACACTCTGACGCCATGTCTTTTGTCCATACATCTGACTGAGAGACAGAGAAAAGAGACAGTGAAGCAGCGAGTGGGCAGGGGAGAGAGTGTGAAATTAGTCACGCAAATACCACCGAGCACAAGTGCGCCCCCTGTTGGTGGAGCAGAGAGAGTAGACCTGTGGGCGGCGGATTGTGAGTGAAACAGATTGTGAGGGGAATCTGCAGGTGGACACAGACTCACACAGACAGTGCCAAAATTCCTCAGCCAATCGCATCTTTTTTCTCACTCTCTGCCTCCGTTTCTTGTTCTTTCGATCCCACGAGAAATTGAGGGAAATTTGAACAGAGATTCAATTCACTATTTAATTCAGTGTTTTTGATTTTTGATCTCGGTCCCCATAGAGAATTTGGGCATCCCGTTTGACTGCAACTTAAAGTTTGACAAAAAGATCACTACAGTTGTATGTCTGTGTCAACTTCTCCTTCTTACGAAAGTTAATCCTTTTTTGTTCATGAGCAATCTTGAAACTGCACATTTCTTCCCGACTTCTGTAATTCGCGTATTATGCTGTTTCTCAGTCTTTCACTTCTCGTCTTAACTGGTACAAAACACAGCTGCTCAAAAGGAAGCACAAATATGACCACATTACACCAAATTATTTAATTTCTTTGCTGGCTTCCTGTAAAGGATCGATTATTATTTGTGTACTCAATAGTCCTCAATAACCTGGCACTTCAATAACTGTTTTATTGCTCCTGCAATCTCATAACCTAAAGGTCATGTGACCTTGGCCAAGTACTAACTGTCCTGAGTTAAACTCAAAAATAGAAGCGATCACGCTTTCGCAACTGCTGGATTGAACAGCCTTCCACTTTACATTAGACATGCATCCATCACTGCTTTTAAATCCCATCTTAAGACATATTCTTTCTCCCTGGCTTTTAACATTCCTTAAGTGTTTTATGGGTTATTTTGGGTCTCTAGTCTATTGCTCATTTTGTTTTTATTTCTAAATCTCGTTCCCTTTTAATACATTGTGGTTCTTTTATTCATTGTGCAGCACTTTTGTCAACCTCGATTGTGTTTAAATGTACTATAAATAAATATTGATTCATTGATTGATTGACTGATTGATCATTAACATTAGTTAATGCATTAGGTGTCAGAAAATAACAACGGATGACACTTTTACAGTATTTATTAATCTTAACATGTTTATATTTTTTACATATACAAACACATTTGTGACATTATAGAAATTATAAATTGATGTATTGCATTGATGTACAGTATTATGAATTTGCCAATAAAGCTCCTGTTTCATTAAGTTACCAAGGCACTCAATTAGTACAAGTAGATTCAAACATAAATTTATTTTTAAAAAATCCAAAATCAATAAATTATTATTTCTAAATGCACCATCTATTTGTCTTCCCAGAACCCCTTGCCACAAAAGTGTCCTATAGAATTCGCCTTTGGCTAAGCCATTCCCTAGAATGTAGATTGACCAATCACAGCGCAGCCAAGAACGAGCTCCCACAGAGGTCCGACACTTTTTCACAGCGCTCCATATAATTTCAACACAGGCATCTCATATTTTTGGTCTCGGCAGGCTATT